AAAGCTTTTCCAAATATTTGACAGAACAGTATTACCAACATCGCAAAAAATTAAACTTTTCGATATATTAGTGGGATCTATCTTAAATTACTGCTCTGAGGTTTTGGGGTTGCATCCAGCATCAGACATTGAACTTGTACACACCAGATTTTTTAAGGAATATATTAGGAGTAAAGAAGTCAACAAATTTAGCAGCCCTCTATGGAGAACTCGGTCGGGTCCCAATGTTTTTGTTATGCGAAAAATATAATATGATTAAGTATTGGAATAAGCTAATAACTCTAGACAATGATAGTATCGTAAAAGAAAGTATATAATAATTTGAAACTAGATGATCAAAATAATTTAACATATAAAAACAGAAATTGGGTATCTCAAATAAAACAAATTTTGAATGAACATGGTTTTGGATACGTTTGGCTGTCACAAAAACTTGATAACAACAACACTCAATTGATAAAACAAAGAATATTTGATAACTATTACCAAAAATGGTATTCTGAAATAAACAACTCGAGCAAATTAAAAACATATGCAATTTTTAAACATGAATTCAAAAGAGAAAAATATCTAGATACTATTAAAGAAAATTACTTAAAAACAGCTTTAGCTAAATTCAGAGTCTCAGCACACCAATTAGCCATAGAAACGGGAAGATACACTAACATACCCCAAAATGAGCGTCTCTGTAAGTCTTGTAACATGCAATCTATTGAAACAGAATACCACTTTTTACTAGTTTGTCCAAAATATAGAACCATTAGAAGTAAATTTTTTAAAAGTTATTATTGTCACTGACCTTCTTTAAACAAATTTGAAAATATCATGTGTTCATCATCAAAAATTACTTTATATAACTTAGCAAAATTCATTTTTTCTGCAAATAAAATTCGCATTGTTTAAGGTATCATATTTTGATAATATTGTATTGAACTTCTTCTCTTTGTATGTTTGTTAAGCTCTTGTTAATTGTTAACCCCATGTCTTATCCATTGAACATGTATATATGTTTATGTTGTTTATATGCTATAAACATTGTATAATGTTTCAGGCAATAAAATTTGAAATTGGAATTGGAATAATTCTGCAAAATGAAAGAGTTTTCTGTCATTAAATTATTATTATTCTGTCAGTGTTTCATCGTGTGAATAACAATACAGAAAAGAGGTTATATCTTTTTTATCTCGAGCAAATGCTATCTTGACACTTAATTACCCTTATTATTTAAATATGTCATCGCGCGAGTAGTGATATGATCTGAGACAACAAAATTATGGCAAGAAAAATATAATTACAATAATTATAATTATTGAAAACCTTTATCTGTATCAATACATTCCTTAAATTTCGAGTAAAAAGTGTTTTCGTCTGTCTTAAAAACCATGGTAATCCATGCTTTAAGTATGGTTTAACAATTTTGTGAAATGAAGTACTTGAGTCATGCTTCAATATATGGTCAACCATGCTTTTAACCAGCTTCAACCATGTTGATATCACGTGAATAGGTTCAAGGAGATTAATTCAAAGAAAATGTGTGTGGCATTGATGTCTGCGTCGGAAAAGTCAGTCAAGGGATCCGGAATAAAGTTTACATTGACATTTAAAGATTAATTGGTTGTAACATTAACCTCTACGTATCTAAAGAAGTTATAAAATTATGCAATGGATTAAACAAGTTGTGACATTATTGTCAACGACGGACAAGAAGTCAAAATAATAAATGTTGACATTGTCATTATAAGATAGGAAAGAGTGTGACATTAATGTCTACGTCGTGAAAGAAGTCAAGAAAAATTAAAAAAAATATTACGTCATTCAACGACAAGGTTAAGCAGTATAATAAGATATGTATTTACCCATGGATATGTTGACATTTTGACTTACGATTGTAAGCAGTAGATAGCAGATTGAGTGTGCTTCTGAAAGATTGTTAAATATAAATTAACTCGGTTATTAATGCGATCATCTAATAAATTGTAAAAGCAGATGAGTTCTACATTTATTGAATATTTTCAACAACAAGTCAGTCATTTTTGTCTCTATGACTGAGGCAACTGTTTATAGTTCAGAGGAACTAATATAATATAAATTGTCTCATCTATCAAGGTTGTACATTGCTACGACGATATTTTATCGTTAGATATACGGTAAGTGAGTTTTATCTTAAGATAAAATTAATTTATCTTAAGATAAATTTTGAACTTACAAGTGCTGTGAAAATAACTTAAAAAATTTAATAAACGATTATGATTTGTCAAAATCTTCAGGCCCTTATACTATGAGTTGTCGAGTCGCTTGTGCTAATGTGGGGCTCTTGATGTCTTCCTCCAAGATAGCCGTATGACTATTACAGTATCGGTATTACGGCCATTTGACAGATTTTCTGTGATATGCAAGCTTCATAACTTTTGATACCCATTCAAAATTCCAGTTTCACCCATTTTTGTTCAGGCCACACAAGTTATTTATCTTAAGGATTGTTCTTTACTTCGCGTTTCATAAACTGGCACTGTCATATTGAAGGTTCCAAAACAACCTCAGTATGAACAGAACTGCAGATGTTTCTATATTCAAAATGGACTGTACATATACAAAAAAGTATTAAAAAATATTTCTTTCCTTAGCTTAGCCTTTTAACAATATCCATACAAGCTATATTTATCAATGTTTAAACATAATCACGAAGCGTGATTTTTAAAAATAATATGTTTCGTCCAATCAGAATGCTTAAATTTCAAAAGTTCTGACAGTTTATTTTGCAAAATTGCGCTGTTTGACTATCCTGTATATTGTAATAAAGTGCAGTTAAGTGAAATTTTATAGATGTATATAATTTTTTTTCTAAAACAATTTCCAAACATCCAACATATTAAATAGGTACAGTAAATGTTTATATACATTATAATTAATTAAACTTTAAAATTAATGTATACATTTTTATCGGAAAAAACCCACAAAAATTGGCTTAGTGATTCCAATATTCCTACTTGAATAATGTTGAATCACCCTTAGGATATGTTGCCTGCTTTTTAAATTTGTCTTTTGACGTCTTATCTGTGATATGCAGGCTTCATAACCTCAGATCCCCTTTCAAAATTCCATTTTATTTAGTTCCGCCCATTGTTTTCTCGTTTAGGGCACACGCATTTTTTTACTTGGGAACCATATCCCGCTTTTCATGGAATGGCACTAACGTGTCACATTGAAGGTTCCATGATAACCGCCATATGAACACATCTGCGGATGTTTCAAAATTATAAATTTTACCAGATCATGTTTAATTTTGAATTCTGCTTAAGCCGGTGCTAGGGGGCGTGGACGGTAACTTGCACTTTCCAGTACCGTCTATGAACAGGCTTAATCAAACCGAGCCTGCAACATTTTCAATTTTGTCGTGTTGGGCGTTTTTTAGGGATTCTGTATTTATCTTTTTTTTTACTTTATCGAAAATATATTTCTAATTACCTCCCTTTATACATGAAATGTGAAATTCGGTAATACAAGTACTCACAATATTGATAAAGCTTTATTTGAGTGACCATCAGATAAATGATATGAGACCATAAAAAAAATGCGTTATAGGGTGTTTAATTCTTTTCGGTAAGCATACACTGATAAAAAAGAATGTATTTAACATGATTTAGAAACATTTTTGGAGTAAGTTACTTGCGACTGGTGTTTACAATTTCCAAAATGAGAGTTAGTTCTCCTAATAGATCTTTCTAACAAAAGTTCTTTTTAAGAGTATTAAATAAAAGTTTAAAAGGACACAACAGCAACAGTTTCTACCTGTGCTGTAGATAATTTTGAAACTTTGAATAAATAATACGTGTAAATAACAAATTGCGTTGCATATTCTTTATAAGAGTGAACTGAATCAAGAAAAGAACAATGAAAATGTACATACAAATAAATCAATCTTAAAGGTGGCAAGCTATATCTCAACAATAACTACTTTTTACTTTTGAAATTGCAAACATGTGTTTTATGCAACTCGTATTTTAATAATGGATTAAGACAATGTTTGACAACTATCAGTTGAATAAAGTAGCGCTGAATATTAATTAATTTAACATAAAATAGACTACTTGTAAACAAAGTGGTATTTTGACTTCCATACAAGCTAATAAATCACCAAACTATATTAAATTCCAAAATATAGAAACAGATGGTTAGCTGTATGTTCACTGGGTAATGTTTTGCAAAATGTAACAGAACACTGAGAAATGTTTTCGAGAAAAAAACAGAAATACCATTTCTGGGGCTTAATGGGCCTTTGAATAGTCTACTCATGTGGTACAATATACTTCTATAGGTAGATACTATCTACACTTTATAGGATTACGGTTGTTTAACATGACGCTATCTGTCTATAAAATATGTGAATGTATAATACATGACAAATATAAAGTGTTAATGATAAGGCAAAGTCGCCTTGTTTGTAATATGCATAAACAAATCCTTGTACGATTAACCAAAAGAAGCAAATCGTCTTATATTACAAATAACACGTGATACACAAGTTACGGTATCACCAGCGTATTATAAACAAATAATTAATCAATTACACAAGGTGTTTGTTCAAGCACTTATCTCAGCAATTCTAGCTTTATACGTTTGTTTAATTTTGTTCATATCCAACTGAATCCCAAAAGTTACAGAAAGTACTTCTGTAATCATGAAAAATCATATTTTTTGGAGTTAAAAAGTGCATGGTAGCTGAAGTGTTCGATGCATAGTTTGGCCACGTCAATACCGGCGAAAATCTACCAATATTCGGCTCAAGTGAATAAGCAAAGTTGGTCCAATATAACAACATGCTGTTAGCTAGCTGTGTCTCCTCCAATGTTGGTTTTCCAATGCGTTGGTTTTGAAAAATGTAACCAAGTTCTTCAGCATGACATACATGGCCTTCACAGAACGAGTCCTTACCCCATCCACCATGTGTAGCTGTTGCATGATCAAAAACATACTGATACACTGCACGATCATTGTTTGCTAAAATATTTCTTGTAGCATTTCTATTAGCACACGTGAATATGAAATCGGTGCAAACAACACATAAGTCGTCTCTGTAATCTTCTAAATCAGGTTTAGGTTTATAAAACATTTCAATGTCTTCAAAGTGAGGTGGATGGATTATTGCCAGAGCAGCTTCGTACTCAGCACGGGTAAGGTTGCGTGTCCAAGCACCATACACAAACAGTCTTGCCTCTTCAGTGGTAGTACCAATAATCATCGGGATCTTTCTAAATTTCCCTTCTGTCGCTGCTTTCAGTGGCTGAGTTATAAGATCAGTTCCATCAATGATAGGACCGATGGGTTCATAATATTCATTGAATTTTCCAGCGGTCACTTTTACTGATATTTCTTCTTGTGCGTCATTTATTTCTTCAACTGATTTTGCTCGCATACATAACATAATGTCTATTTCAGGGCACCTTAGAATTTTTCTTAATCTGCTTGTGAGGAAAAGCGCTTCGTCTTTTTCTCTATAAGGAACGGAAAACGGAGCACTTTCCATAATAGCTGCTCGGAACAAACTGCTGTCAGTTTTAGGTGACATCAAATGAATAAATGTTGATTGAGCACCGGCACTTTGCCCAAATAGGGTCACCTAAAACAATATAAACCTTTTAAAATATTTTTCTTATTAAGACAAATAGTTTTGCTTGAAATATTTTTATATTAGATATTAAACGTGAAGAAAATTAAATATTTACGAGCAGTAAAAGCAGGAATACTTCTGTTAGTGGGATCACTGCTAACTGCACATACATTGCAAATGAATTATTTTGCCACATATTTTATTGAATAAACGAAACAACAAGCTTTTGTATTTTGTCTTAATTTATTATTTTGACCGCGGTGTGATATGCATCATATTCAATAGTTGTTTGTAAACTTGAGTAATATGAATTACCTTAGATGGATTTCCTCCAAAATTAACAATATTTTGTTGTACCCATTGTAATGCTAGTCGTTGGTCGCGAATTCCATAATTACCTTTGGCGTCTGAGGACGAGTCTCCAGTGTATAAAAACCCTAATATACCTGTGAAGAAAACCAACAATTAATTTTAATACAGATTATTCAAAATATTTGTCAACTATTTTTCATAACGACGTTATCCAGAAACAGGAAATGAAGGGTAAACATATATGAACTAAAGACCGCAAATCTTTAAAAAGAGTCAAACGAATCATAATATAAATAAATCCTTATAAATTAATTTACGTTGAAATCACCCTCTAATTTGTGTTTTATAACCATATTTAAGGCGGGATAATAAAAATTGTATTGGAACAGTTTTTATAAATTTGTTTCTAAATTCATAATTTGCCATTTCATGTTTAAATGTTGAATTCTGCTTTAGCCGTTGTTTGGGGGGGGGGGGGGGGTTGACGGTAGTTTGCACTTGACAGTACCATCCATTAGCGGACTCAATCAAACCGAGCCTGCAACGTTTACAATTTTGCCGTTTTGGACTTTCTTTAGGGATTCATATTTTCTCTATTTGTATGCGTATGTTGGAATTTGAGGACGATTAAAGAACTCACCAACTCTATAGTCCATGTTGACAACAATCACTTTTCCACCAGCAGCTAGGTTGTTACCATCATAAGTAAATGTTGATCCTGATCCCCATTTGAAGGCACCTCCGTGGATAAAAACCATCACCGGATATCCGGAACTGTTTGTAGCGTCAGCCGGTGTCCATACATTGAGGTATAGGCAATCCTCAGACATCTAAAACAAAAATGTGACTCGTTATATTCAAAACTGGAATAAATGATTGAATTTATCTTTTATGAGACGAACAGATATTTCTAAAATCTTGCAAGTGTTTTTCCAAACTAATACGTTAAATGCCCTACAGATAAAGTTAGTGGGAAGGGAATGACTATTCTTTAGCATTCTACTTATTTCTATTGTGAATATCACATAGGAAAACACAATCTCTCTCTTTTGATTTCTCTTTATTTTCTTTTTATTTCTTCGGTATGGTAGTTCTCTAAGAATCGAACAACTGATTTCATAAAAAAACAAACAACAAAAACAACTAACAACAACAACCCGTCCCCAAAGACCCCCCCCCCCCCAAAAAAAAAAAACAAACAAACAAAAAAAACCCCCAAAAAACCGGATTGGTGTCAATTCACTAGTATGATTACTTCATGATGAGATATGAGAGATTTAGTAAATGCTAAAACGTTTGGATTTTAAAAATATCATGTCTCACGATAAATCAATGATTGAGCAAGTATGTCGAAATAACTTAGGTATGTGCAAATGCTGTAAAAAATAAGAAGTTTGAAAACTGCTAATACAAGGGGTTTGATGTGAGATGTGAAAATATTTGTATGTGATACCTTAGAGGCAATGTGAAAAATACTTGTATGTGATACTTTAGAGGCAATGTCAAACAGACTTGTAGGCAGTGTAAGATGGTAAAATTGTTATGCATTAATTGTTCAAACTATTACATTGGAAAAAAGCAAGCTATGTGTTCATAGAAATATTTGACTACCAACAAGATCAATAGATTTGCTTCTCCCCCTTTCTGCAGTAAATATATTCTTGTCGCTAAACAGAACAAGTTGTTAATAATATTCATTCATAGGAGGAGGAATTCAAGAGATGCTACGCGTCAGGCAATGCTGAAACCCTCGGAATATATGTATGTGTTTAAAATCAATCAATGAAAAGAATGATTTATAAATGATGATGCAGACAAATTGTGACGTGAAACAACATCGTGAATAGATTGCTATATGATTATTGGATGATAATGATATAATCAATGACTTTGTCTGAGCTGTGGAGACACGGAACGTCGTCGTACAATAGTACATGATTTTGTAAACGCTCAGAAAATTGTTGTTGCATTTAATTATACGAGTATGTTGTCTATTTATTGTCTCCTCTGTTGAGATCTGTTTACAATGAATAAAAAATGCAATAAAATGTTACAGTTACAGCTACCAGTTCGACATTTTCTCATTTTATGGATGGAATAAAATTATAAAGCTATATTTGAGTTTTTCATATTGAATCTTGGAAATTTTATGAAAAAATATTTTGTTTAAACGACATGAACATTGGCCACTTCATCTTTATGGTAACTGAATAGTTACTGCAAATGCAGTACCAAAGTTATTATTCCATACATTTTGATGCTTTATTCCTACTTTTTTGTCACTTGTAATTGTGTATAAGCAATCATTTTTAATAACTTTTAGACAAAGTTAAATTATGCCATTTTACACAATGGGTCTAATTTTTTTGAAATATTTTGAAATACAGCATGCTAAATATTTCAAACATTAGTTAAATTTAATTTGACTTAAATATAGCGATCCTAAGAAACAACTTAATATGAATAAGACATATACATACCTGCATTGGGCAGCTAGTATTTGGCAAGAATTGAAAGCAATATTTCTGAGGACAGCCTGGTTTGCGTGATGTGGCGTTGTATGTTGCTGGTCTCCATGACGCTGGAATAGTTGGATCATTCCATCTGTGATAACAACAACAACAATATTTTATAATATTATATATACCAAGACGTAAGCAAGTACAAAATATTTATAGAAATCCAACCTAAATTGTATTATTTCATACGAGTTCATGCTTTGACCACTCACGTGTAAATTTGTTTCCTGTTTCCTAACAGAAAAGGTTAAATTACTTTTATAAGACTTATCAATAGTTCTTTTTTGACAGGCGTCAGTGACCGAAAGTATACGGTTAATTATGATAAAAAAAATGACAATCAATGTACATTTTATATTTTGTGGCTCTGTTATCACTGTTACCCTATTTTTATGCTCGGATTTCATGAGCAGGCAAGTCACATATTTTTTTTCATTCATACAGGTTTTTGTTGTCCATTTAACTCTAAGACTGAGTCTTAAAGCATAATGGTATTCTTGCTCTTATTTTTACATTCTTCGTGTCTGACTTTATCTTAAATTAATACAGAAATACATGTATGTCATTTGGAATTGATAGATCCCTACTCTGATCTTTTGTTTGAATAACAATAGATTAACCACAAACATAGACATGTGTTTTTGTAAACACATAGATTGTCATCCAATAATTATTATAATGCACAAATCTGATAATTTGATTTAGATAGGTTAGGGTGATTTAGGGATCTATCCGTAGAGACAGATAAAAGAGATAAAGATTTTAGTACAAAGATTGAAAACTTTCTAAATATACAAACCTCAAGGGTCCAACTGGCGGTGACGCGTACGGAATTCCGAGAAACTGCAAGCTATTTTCATTTCTGATTCCTCGGACATCTCCATACACTGTTGGAACAACCGGTTCTGTAACAGCATATACATTATAAAACACGGTGAGGAAAATAATGAGAAATGTAACTTCCATTATTATGAATATCAATATGTATAATGTAATAACATCAACAAAGGCTAGACGTGATAGTACAACCTTCTTCTTAACCTTGATAAATAAGTTTTATCATAACTATATCTATGTTTATATATACTAGTGTTAATATCTAGGATTAGTACACTTATTACTAACCTTAGTTCAGATAATAAGTATAAATATCTTAAAGCTGCATGCCTCCAGATGAACCAAAATATTTCAAGAAAATTAACCGAAATAATATTTATTAAGATTTTTAAAAAAGTAAAAAGATTCAAAATTCAAGAAATCTCTTACATGTACCTTGCATATGAACAATAAAAACAACATTATACTTTACATAAATCATTCCTCTATTGACAGTTAAACAAATTATGACATAAATAGCAAATGCCACTTTACAAGCAACAGAAAATTAAAACAATAACAGTAATGAACTAACCCATTTTTTTTGTTGTGCGCCGGTATTACGTTACTAAGGTAACTTAATGACAATTCTTTTTTCACGATACGCCGGTTACATGGCTTTTTCTTATGTCTTCTTATTTGAGACATATTTCACCTTCAAGTGATATATAATTCATGTTTTTTATCAATTACTCTCAGAACAATAACTGCAGTGCACGAATTTTTTGGACAACCCTCGTATCGCCATATTTCTACTGTATGACTATCGCAGTAAGGCTTTTGTGTGTATATTTTGACCCTTTCTTTGGTAATGTACGTGAATTGTATGTGCCGTTTCGCAATTTGTAAATTACTTTCTTTGTTCACTTTACAATATTTTACTTATAAACACATTTTCAAAATATTCATGAAAATTTGCACGAATAAGGCATGCTGCTTTAATTTCGAATTTTATGTTTCACTACCGAAAACAAAAGATTATACACCAAATTAATTTTTATCCGCAAATATATAACATAAAATAAATACAAACATAACCAATAGATGATGTATTGTGATAAATCGGATTGCTACTACATTAAACTAAGTCATTGTTCTATTTATGTGACCTCATTATTCATATTTCCCCATTTTTCGGATATTGTTGAGGTTGGCCAAAGAATGGACAACATATTTCGCTGACCAGAATCATCCTTGGCGCTTTGTGAAAATGTTATTACTTTCTGTTTTAATCGACTAAAATATAGAATTCTCCATAAGTAGCCAGAATGATGAAATCGAAAATGAAACTTAAACATTATAATGAAGGCATTTAGATCGAAAACCGGGTGTATTTTTACTGAAGCTATGATTATCTTTTTTACAAACAATCTAAACGAACTCGTATTTTACAAAATCTACAAGAAACAAACATGGGTTTCTAGACATAATCCTTATTTGCAAATGATAAATAAAACTTGACAAATGACGCCGACATTCCACCAATTATCCGTCGCAATGATGTGCAAAAAATAAATTCTTTCCTCTGTCACACAAGATTTAAATTTCCTGCCTGAAAATACAAAACAAGCTCCTCATTAGCTAAAATCCAAACGTATTTAGTCCCAGTTGCATGTGTAGTCTGGATAAATCAGCCACATAGATATATATTCGCTAACCGACATTTTCGATGCCGTTTTTTTTTTGTTGTTTATCAAAACAATAATACAGTATTGTTTTTCTTTGCAGTGACGCCCCCCGCCCCTGCCAAAAATGACACAACAATAAGGGATCAAACATTTGACAATGTTAGGGCATAGCTATAGTATATACATTTAATTATATACATGTACGGGGATGCTGAAAAATGAACTGTAAGATAAATTATTTTTACATACTTATAGATATATTGGACAGGCATCCTTATTTGAAAATAATTTTCAATTGAAAATAGGTAATAACCATTTCTTTATCATTGAATAATTATGTATAAGGACGTTAAAAAGTTTAAAGCAATTTCATGTAATGGCACTGTTCTCTTGCAGTAAATGTATATTTTATATAGATGCTAACGTAAATGAAGAAACGTTGTTTAGACATTTTAATGTCAGAAAATAAATGCAAAGTTAGAATATCTATAATAATGCTGTGCAAGAAAAGCAGAAGGGAACATATAATGTCAGAATTTTGAAATAAATAAATTAAATTAAATATGATAATTATATAATTATGATGATTATCAAAATATACCTTTGTGTGCTTAATATTCGGGGGAATTTTAAGAAAATTGTTTTGGCAGTCGAGTACAATTTAAAGACCTTACACTTTACCAAGCAATGGAAAGTGGCGTTCATAAAAAGCAAGTTCGTAGACTAACACTATGTTCATTAGTTTTTGGTCGTTAAAATTCTTGCGTAAGCCAGCAGAGATATAAACATGGGGACGAATTCTTTAAAAATGAATAAAAGTGCAAAAATCTCCTGAAGACTACTTATAGTAATTGAATAATTCAGTTAACGGTAATAATTAGCTACGCAACGACCATGTGAAAAAAAAGAATATTGACAGATATTTGACAGAAAGAAAAAAAAAGGTTATACAAGAATACCCGTGAGTAACAAAAAATAATGGTAATTGTCGTAATTTCTGACAGATGATCCTTTTACACTACTTACAATATAACGTGAGAAAAAGTGTGACCTCCCAACTTAGCACTACAATCAATAACTAAGATACTGAGATTTTCATGTAAAAACGTTTCATGTACTTTATTTTAGTTCTGTAAGTTAGCACATGTGAATCAAGATTAACTTTACAGTTTATTTGGCAGCTCTTAATTTATGCAAACTCGATCTAATGCTCTATTGATTACCATATATTGAATACCAACTTTATCTCATCTTCTGGAAGCAAGCGTTTGTTATTAACCACCTATTTGGCATTTCACCATGGTCAGCAATGGTTTCATTTCGAAGGCAAGGCCAAGGCTTCGGGTAAAGGAAATAGTTCTGATTATGTAGATTTTGACTGAACATGGTTATCATCGTTAATCATGGTTGTTAAAAAACAACAATGTTTCTGACCATGTTCAGAATATTTTTCCTGTAGTAAACCATGGTCAAGCTGGCAATATCTTCCATCTAAAGCAATCAGACACACAATTAAATTCTTACACAAAGACACTTACAGTTTAAAATCTCAAATGCTCACTTTTTAGATTTGACAAATTTCTCGTTAGAAAAAGCAAAATTAATGTACGCCCACGTCAAATGGTTTTCAGTAGCAAGTACAATTAAAAATGACGGATTTTGCTCTTTTTCACTGATTATTTACTATTGTCTTGACACGTTATCTGGCAAAAATAAACCTTAAATTAGACTACTTACGTGTGAATAGGAAGTCATGACTTAGTAGATCTAAATAAATTAAATTATTGAAAACCATAATTGTATACCATGATAAATTGTGTCATCAATATTGGTTTAAAAATGGTTGCCGCCTAGTAAATTTAAGACACATTGGTTGATTTCAAATCTTAAAGAGATAATTTAATTGGTAAAGATGCAATTACATATATGTTCGCTTTTACTTCCTTCAACAAAAATAGCTATATATAACATCATTTATGATTGAATTGTCTAATATGTAAACTTGTGCTTTAAAAACATATGCACTGCAATACTGCATGAAGAGAATCAACACCGAGCTGAGGTAAGTTTAAATATACAAACATTTACCTTACTAACCTTACATTAAATCATTAACGAATATATTGATTTAAACATATTTATTTAAGCTCGATTGCAAAAAATGTTCATGCATCTTATATTAATCACTTTCAAGTCCACTTCTTGGAACCAACCATTATTGGTGTCATATGAAGAAACATGGTCGTGTAACGATTAAGGCTCGGACACATGATCCTTAACCACCTGGCCACTGCTCCCCTTAACGGATATATAGAAGATCGAAAATAGAACAAAAGTGCATTACATCAACATTATAAAGGTTAAATATATGGCATTGTGCGCGTGTGCTGTTTGTGAAAAAAGTCTAAATTATCATAAGACATAATGTCAATCAAAGTCTGGCACCTAAGTTCATTAGCTTTTCTACATAGTCAACAATCAGTTGACACGGACTGTGATATATAAGACAATGGAGATGTATGTAAGATTGCGTGCAAGTATAGTAATTGCCTAAACTATATTGAATATTTTTTTATGTGTTTAACTTCCATTATATTATCATCTTAAGCGTTAATACTGCAAAATGAAAGAGTTTTCTGTCATTAAATTATTATTATTATGTCTGTGAAGTGTTTTATCGTGTGAATAACAATACAGAAAAGAGGTTATATCTTTTTTATCTCGAGCAAATGCTATCTTGACACTTAATTACCCTTATTATTTAAATATGTCATCGTGCGAGTAGTGATATGATCTGAGACAACAAAATTATGGCAAGAAAAATATAATTACAATAATTATAATTATTGAAATCCTTTATCTGTATCAATACATTCTTTAAAGTTCGAGTAAAAAGTGTTTTCGTCTGTCTTAAAAACCATGGTAATCCATGCTTTAAGTATGGTTTAACAATTTTGTGAAATGAAGTACTTGAGTCATGCTTCAATATATGGTCAACCATGCTTTTAACCAGCTTCAACCATGTTGATATCACGTGAATAGGTTCAAGGAGATTAATTCAAAGAAAATGTGTGTGGCATTGATGTCTGCGTCGGAAAAGTCAGTCAAGGGATCCGGAATAAAGTTTACATTGACATTTAAAGATTAATTGGTTGTAACATTAACCTCTACGTATCTAAAGAAGTTATAAAATTATGCAATGGATTAAACAAGTTGTGACATTATTGTCAACGACGGACAAGAAGTCAAAATAATAAAAGTTGACATTGTCATTAAAAGATAGGAAAGGGTGTGACATTAACGTCTACGTCGTGAAAGAAGTCAAGAAAAATTAAAAAAAAAATATTACGTCATTCAACGACAAGGTTAAGCAGTATAATAAGATATGTATTTACCCATGGATATGTTGACATTTTGACTTACGATCGTAAGCAGTAGATAGCAGGTTGAGTGTGCTTCTGAAAGATTGTTAAATATAAATTAACTCGGTTATTTATGCAATCATCTAATAAATTGTAAAAGCAGATGAGTTCTACATTTATTGAATATTGTCAAC